GATGATTGTAAATCCGGTTCCATGTGTTGATTTAGATGCGTCGGTATAAATTTGTAAGAAGTTAAGTAATTTTTCTTGGATTATTTATTGAAAATGAGTGGTGATAACTGTCGAATTTGTTTCATATTTATTGTATTTTGTGAATTCAGTATTTAGTTAGATTTTCCAAAGCCAGGGTGTGGATTTTTGGAAAATTATTTTATTTTTGTGTGGATTTTGAGTTTGTTGCACAATTGGGAGAAAGTATCTTGTATGGATGGTTTTTGTTTCTTAACTATGTTGGTTGTATTGATATTTTTGTTGTTGAAAACATGGATATATTCTATTTGATCTTTTATTTGCACATAGTATTCATGTATATGAATAATGATTTTATTTGTTTTACTATAAATGTACAATAATATAACTACTACAAGAAAATAAAGTTCGCTGTAGCTTATAATTACTTACTTCTATCATGCATATCTAGTATAAATTAAACTGTTATAATTATAATAATTATAATTTATAGTTGGTAATTTAAATGAAATTATGGTGTATGATGAATATATTATTCGGAACTGTTTTTATATTTTACATTTTTAGCGTACAGTTTACTGAAATTTGTATTACATTTTGATTTGAATGAAAATTTTATATTTTAGAATATGTTAACAAAAATGGATGTAGTTTTCAGTTTTCTTAATATAAATTATTAAACAGTATTCAGTTATAGTTTGATGACTTGCAAGGGAATTTTTTTATGATAGTATTAAATATTTCATATTTGTTGGACCGGTCATTATGCCCTACATTAGTAAATATTGATATAACGCCCCTGAAAAAATTGTCATTATATTAGGTTTATTCTTGAAGTTTACATCAATCATGAATGTTTTAAAATCAATAAAAAAAAAAAAAAAAAAAAATGTACTGTTTTAGCCTTACCGGTATAAAATTTAGTTATATATTAAATAAATAATTCTATAATATACATCTGGTGACTTCTTCTGTTTAGTTTACTATTCATAATAGTACATTGAAATAACAACAGCCAAATCCAAAAATTATTAGTTAATATAATTTAAATTTTGAAATAGAAAAAAAAATGTATTCTTATTTAGCAAAACATTATATTATTTAAATTCATTTCATCTATATAAAATTTAAAACGGGCGACTAGATATTATTTTATAACTTTTTATTAAACATATTTAATTGAGAGATATTTATATTTTTTATATCATAAAGCAAAAAATATTATACGTTTCTATAATTATAAATTATATTTAAATATTCTATATTATATTTATTAGGTAAACCAAGTTCAAAGTTGCAATAGTTAACCTTTTCGAAAAAAAATATATTAAGTTATTAAAATGTCATCTGATGACATATTTGATATATATTTGATTTTAATTATAAGTATTACAATTTATAATTAAACAATTACATTAATCTTGAGACAATTATATTATATAATAAGAAATTAAATGTCTAAAAAAAATATACTGTACTTTTCTAATATATTTAAAATAATTTTACTATTGAATATTTTATACATAGATTCAATGATCTACAATATGTATGATTTCAATTTCGAATTCCTGAACTAATATAAAAGGAGGAAGCCATAACATTGAAACTAACGTTTGATCATCATAGCCAGACTTTTTTTTTCGTTTAATTTGAAACATTTTATTAAGTAAAATGATTACAATTATTTTTTGCGTATTTTATAGATGTTTTATTTTATAAAACATGTACATTTGTTTCTTATGTTTGTATTTTATTAAAAGACAATTTCGTCTTAATATTTATGAAACTGTATTTTTTAAAAATAAATGTCAATTTTTGTTTTTTATTAATTAAAACACTAAAGAATTTATTTCGAGGTAGATACCTGTTTCAAATTATAAAATATTGATTTTTAAATAATTTACTGTATGAAATAATCATTGAGTCAAAATAATGTTATCTAAGTTTAGCTAAGTAATATTATTGATTTTATAAAGTCATTACTTACAATATAACATTTATATTCATTTTAAATTTGGAGCATGATTTTAAAACTATTATATATTTTATACTTATAAAATAAGTATAAAAAATGAATCAATAAATAATCTTAATTCGATTTTAGTTCAACCTTTTGACTGATTGTCTTTATAATGAAATTATCGGAATACTTTTATTTTTAGGTCAAGCTTAAAGCTATCTACATTTATTTCATTCAGATTCAACTTCTCAATAAATGTGGTTACCATTATTATATTTCAAATACTGTGTTAATTCAATTTTATCTATGTCCATGATCAAATTGACCTAAAATATGTAAACTATAGTTTTCTTTTTTACTTTAAAACTTAATATATAACCTTACATATACATTTTTAAATTATTAAAATAAAATGATTTCCCTTTATCGGTTACATTTTAATTATTAAAATATTTATATACCTAGACATTGAAAAAACTGATGAATTTCATTTTAGATTATTCAACATGATGACTTAATTTTACACTAGCTATGTATTCAAGTATTATAAACCTTTTGGTAGAGGTCAAAATATCGAATTATATATAAAAATATAATTTTTTTCATACAACGCATCATATAAGTGCATAACAACTTATAATAAAATATAATTTAGCTTTTTTTTTTATTTATATACATTTATAAATAATATAAAGTAACCATTGAAAAATGATCACTTGTTGCATTAATTTACAAGTCTTGGGGGCTAAAGTGAAATACAATGGATGCCATTGATCAGATTTAGAGTTTATTATAAAAATAATTTATTTCTTTTATTTTAACCTGGATTCTATGAATTCAATTTTATAATTTTATATTTTAAAATATAATTCAATATTTTATTGAATATTAGTTTTAGATAATAAAATAAATTATTTAGATCCATTTTAAAAGTAATCAAAGTTATGAAAAATATGATTACATTAATAAACTAACATTATTTTCTTCGTTTATTTGTAATTTATAATTTGTACGTTTGATATATTCAACCATAATATTCTTTTAAACTGATTATTGTTTTGTTACCTCTCATAGCCTTTTCTTTACTTTTTCACGTATACTAAAGTAAAGTCGACTAGATAAAAATTGTGAGTTATAAAAACTTTAAAAAGTATATTTTATACATTATAAATTTTTTAATTATTATTCTATATCAGAATTTTTCAAGTTGCTAAATTTTTCTTTTTTATTTTTAAAATTACATCTTTATTTTTTATTATTATATATTTTACAATTCGCATTTTTCAATAATTGTAAGAGAATTTATTTTTTCTGCAAAGGAAAATGTTGCTAATTCTATTTTTTGAGTCGCAATAACACGTGCTATTAACTATTGCATTAACACTAATACGGTGTACGATTAAACTAACAGATAGCCAAGAACTAAAACTGAAATCTACTGTATGGAGTTATAAAGGCTTGAGTTACCAATAATCGGCTGTAATAATTGAGTTTTAAAGAAAGGCATAAACGAAAAATAATTTCAGAGTTAAATTATTTTTAGTGCTAAATTTAGATTAGAAAATTCAAAGTATTGGAAACTTGTCTAATTAATTTTCGAAGTTAATGTCATCTGAATTTAAATTTTACGAGTATTTATTCGAGATATCAAGAATTTTGATTTATTAAGGTTTGAGTTACCAAGAGTCAATTTAACGCCATATTGCATTGTTAAAATTGTAATTAAATTGAAAAATAAATAAATTTATACATAATTCCATTATCCTTCATTATTTTAAAATGTAATTAATTGTATAATATAATTTTAATAGAAATCCCAGAGATCCGAATTTAAAAATTATGGTATGATATTTAAAAATAAAAAGTAAGTACCTAATACTTTAATGTAAACAAAAAAAAGGTAATAAAGTATTAAAATCATTATAAAAATGTAGAAAATTTTACAGAAAATAAAATTTCAATTATCTCTTTAAATATCGTATAAGTCTAATGTTAAAATAAATAATCTGGATTGAATGAAAATTTGGTTACTAAAAGACCTATATATTTTTAATTTATATATGATATCTATATGTTTCTATATCCACATTCGGAAATGCCTCATTCAATTAATTGGTATCAATCATTACTCTTTTGTGAGAGTTTATTTTCTGAGGAATTAAAATTAAAACATTCATTTATACTTAATGCATAAAAAAAGGTATAAACGTATTTTAATATAGTGAAACCTTTAAATAAGTGAGTGTTGTAAGGAGTATTTAAAAATACCATTATTAAGAATTCTTTCATTTCAATAGGTATTTTTTGAAATTTTAGAAACTAAAATAAATTATTTAATCATAATTTTATTTTATTGAAAAAAATATTATACATATAAGGTAAAAATTAAAATGTTTTTATTCTATAAATTGAGTTTTAGTCTATTTAATATGTTGCCATGATCAAAATTTAAAAATAACATTAGGTTTTGTTATAAGTGCAGTAATACAGCCAATACTTCAATGGTTCACCAATTTAAAATTGTTTTATACCTCAGACTAAAAAAAGTTGGATAAAGAAATTACATCATTTCTAAATAGACTATTTTATATATGTATAATGCACTTTTTAAGTTTTTTAATTCTAAAAAAATGGCAATTTATTTGCAAAACATCCAAAAATATTTAAAAAAAATTATATTTTTTTTAAATATACAATATTTACAATATTTTTTAAAAGTTTAAATAGGAAATTATTTTTACCGTCATCTTTTGAATTAAAATTAATAAAAACATTAATTTGAATTTTAAATACTTAACATTTTTTATGTTAAATATCAAATATATTCTCAAAAGTTGTTTTATCAACTTTGATTAGTTTTGTATACAATTTTGAGAACTTACATTTTTAATATTTTGTATTTTGGTGTATGACTACTCTGAGATTGTTTTTATAGTATATTACATAATAATAAAGGTTTCCCGATTTTTTCTTCTAAATTTTAGTTAATACAGGTTTTATACACACGTTTGTAATTTCTTACCCTGATGGCTTATTTTCCACCGTAGTGGATGGTCTTGAACAGTGGTTAACTTCTCCCATTTCTACCATAGTGGATTGAACTTCACTGTTGGTTTTAGTTTCTTCGTTGTTTGATTTTTCCGTTTCCATATTTTCAATCTCTAGTACTTTATTTATTTTTGTTAGATGAATTATTAAGACCTAAATAATATAATAACTAAAGTAATCCAATAAAAACGAAAATAACTGGCGGTCGAGTATTCGCGTCGATGGTCATCACACGCGCACGATACGATTACTACGCTCACGGCCCTGTGACAAGCATTGTTTGTTGCTATCTATATTTGTGTACTATGTTCATTGCCCTACCACTATATCCCACGCAACGTTTAGCCTCCCTTTACGGGTGTAACCGATAACTTTTCATTATTATTTCCACTAATAAATTAATTAATTTTATATTGGAAAAATAATTACAACCATAATAAATATAAACTACAATTAATGGGATTATTCTACTACCTATATCAAACTTTTGTAATAGATAAATTTAATTTATATTAACTGTTACTGTGTCAAATAGATCGGTTAATTATTGAATAACCTATAGTTGCAATAATCAAAAGTCCAGGTTCGCGTATAAATATTGTAAATAATATATCCATAAAAAATGTTATTTTTGTTAAAGAATATTCGTTTTCCAGTCAATTTATTTTGTGTGTATTTGAAAATAAAATACTGATGTATAAAAGTCAAACATTTAACTAATATAGACTAAAGTTAAATATTTATAGGTTTTTGAAATTTAGATGAGTAATCGATCATTAAACGATTCCCCACTATATGTTCGTATACTTCTTAATTTGTTATTAGATTTTTATTCACAGACTGTACTAGAAAAATATACTGTCTTAAAATGTCGAATTCAAAATGCATTCTGTTATTTAAAATTGATAAAAAATAATTGAATAAATATTTTGATAAATTATAGATAGGTAAAATATATTTTTTTACAAAAATGTTCCGTTGTTATAACAATATATTTTTCAAAAAACCATAAGTATTGTCCGAGAAATTAGGTGCTATAATGTCAAATACTAATTTACTTTATAATATATTATAATTATTACATAAAATAATACTTATTGTTTTCAATTATATATAAATATATATTTAAAACGATAATTATAACTTTGTTATAATTATATTCTCAAATATTATAGGTATTTTAAATGTATCAATGCATTTAAAATACACCTTGTACAGAAACTTGATTGTTGGCTCATCATCGTCTTTAATCATTCGTAAATACTTTGGTGTAGTGTATGAGTTAGTGTTATATGATTATAATTACACTAATTTTTTTGTCTTACTGATAACATTGATAAATTATTTTATTATTTTTATTTTATTTATTATTTTATTAGGTATTCATAACAAGAGATACCTAAATTCCGAATACAAGAAATGTCATTGAATTGTATTATAACAATAAAAAATTTTAAAGAGTTACTTCAAATAAAATACATATTGGTAAAAATATAATTATTATAAATTTACTTACTATAGACAGTGTATACCTTTATAACAGGAGTGGTCAGATTTTTTAAATAAGGTACATTAAATTGTGATTATAGAATTATAGTTATTATTTTTCACAATTTTAAGATTAAAACTAATGTTTTTGATACAACATTATTTTAAAATTAAACTATAATTACTTTTTTCTTAATCTTTGGCTATCGAGAATTTTTTTATGTTTTCTCAGTACGGTCTGCTAGGTTTTTTTACTAGTCACTTCTCTACTATATAAATGTAATATCATGATAGGAAATATCAATAATATTATGTAATAATATATATAAAAAAAAGAATGAATTTAATTATTTTTAATACATATTTTTTTATAGTAAAATAAATAAAGTAATTAATTATACTTGATTGTCAGATTGTCAGACTTGTAATTCTAGAACGAAAATAATCACGAGAAAATGAAATAAAGAATGAATAATTATAAACAAACCTACAAGTAATTTACGTATAGATACTTCAAAATAAGGTTTATAAAATTTATAAAATTATTATCTTATAGTATTAGTATTATTAGTTTTATTTTTGAACTTTTTGTACATTCAATTTATTAAAACTGAAAGGAAAATACTGAATATAGTATGATTATTCGTATTATATACGTCATCAAAAATGTTATCACAATAATTATTACTCCAAAGTCTGTTTTGTATTTACTTTATCGTAATATGTATTCAAATTAATACATTTCTGTAACATAATTGAACAAATTAAAATTAAAACCTTAGTCAGTCATCACCATGAGACTAATTTAATATACATAACAAACTTTTTCTATACATTTTGTATAATTCTCAGTTTCGGGATTCTTTTTATCATCCTGTAGTCCATATATTTCTAATAAAATTTCCAACTAAAAATATTACAAGATTTTCTGAATTGTACACATCATGAACTGTAGTTTTAAATTTTAGGTTCGCGATTTTATGTGTTTTCCACAAAAATTGCTTTCTGCCAGCATAAAGCACATTAAGGAAAATAACAAATAGGAAATTTGATTTTCTAAAATGTTATTTTTTATTTGTTACATTTTATTTAATATTGGGGTGTATTATTAATTAATCCGAGAATATTTTATGTAAATTTAGGTACATACACCCATTATTATAATTTTTAAATCTTTTATTTAAAATCTTTTATTTTATTACACGGTGTTTAAATATTAAAGTAAACTAATTAATATATATTTGGCGGTTGTATTAAAATAAATAGTTTTAATTGATTCGATATTTAAAATTTTTAATTTTTGAAAAAAGTATTGTCTAGAAGAAAATATTTTGGGAACATATCTTACTAAAAATATTTCATTTGAAATTAAAATATATTATTTATTTATTATTCCTTCGTATATGAATTATGAATTATTAATTTGATAATTAATAAAAAAAAAAAAAATGTATCATAATAGTATAACAATGTTATCAACACATGGTTCAATCGATTATTAGTTTATAATACCATGCGACAGTAGGTAATTAATATACAGTTGTTGTTGGATAAAATTGTAGATCATTCGAGTGGTGTTTCCGTTGAATATCATTAACATTATTTCACTAAATGCATAGGCGTGTCTACGGGTCGTGCTTCTAATGCACAGGCATGACTTGCAAAATCGAACTTTAATTGTATTGCCGATTGACGAAAGTTACGATTCCAGCAAAACAACATTTAGAATTATGAAAATTTATTATCATAGTCTGATATAAGGTAATAATGATTTTTGCATAAGTTGATGATTCTTTTCCTTTTGGTAACCCAGTATCGCATTTATGTATTTGTCTTGTGTATGACCTGCTAAAAAAGTCTGGATACGCTTATGATTAGAAGATTTTCTCTTCTGAACAATTGCATATCGACTGGTAATAAATATAAAAATAAACTATCACGACAACATTGGCTGTAACACCACTTTGAAGTGATATAAATTAATAACACAATATTAAATTCATATAATAAAATTAATTGTTTAATCAATGACCTTTTAGTGATAGATAAATTGCGCGAAGTTGAAAAATTTTGAGAACTATAGGTTAGCATTGGATGGTCACTACCACTATAGAGATGATTACACATATTTAAATTTTAAATTAAGCAAAATAAAATCTTGGTAATTTTGAGTAATCGTATATTATAATATACCTATACAAAAATAGATTTTGAAAATACCAGTGTTATGAATATTTTAATTTTTTGAATCAGTATAATGTGTATAAAATAATATTCTTCTTAATTATATGACTAATTCAATTGATTTTTATGAGTTAGTTATATTCTTTGAATATAATTTTTAAAAATTCAAGATTTTAAAACCATTATCAACTTTTAAATAAAAGTACTCTTTTTGCTATAAATTATTTAAACTCTAAAATATGTTATGTTTACATATGCAACAAAAGATATTATTAATAATAGTTTTGGGAAAATATACTATTTTATTTAATAAAAAGCTAGGTTTTTTTTGTTTAGTTGTTGAGAAATTATTGATTTTAAAAAATTAAATAATAAAATTACAAATGTCTAACATATTAGGACTATACTGACAAATAACCAATATATATATATGTATATATAACCTAACCTAACCTAACCTAAACAAATTAAATATATATATATTTAATTTGTTTATCCAAACTGCATCATGTAATTAATGATCAAATTGAATCATACAATCCAATACAAGTACCACATTTTATTTGCAAATTATGAATAATATGCATCATAATAATCCAACTTATCAAAAGTGAGAATTTATTTTGCACCTTATTTATTCTTATCAACATAAAAAAATATTTAGTATCATATATCATCTATTCCACACATGATTATTAATAAGCATATTAATTTGAATCGTTTTAATAATTTTAAGATATGAAAATAGTACAATAAATGAGTACAATAATTTGAATAATGACTCACAAAAATTGATTTCTTTTAAACCATGTTATATAGTTTATTATGTAGTGATTTTTTAACAAATACGCTTCGAGATTAATTTTATTTTTAATACATTTTTATTTTTAATTTAATTAAATTTTAATAATTAATTAATTAATTAAATTTTTAATTTATTTTTAATTAAATATTTTATTGCTTCATCCTAACAATACTTTGTCACAATAATAGTATTTTCATCACAAGTGTAAAGTAAAAGTTGAAAATATATTATTTAAATTATTAATTTTCAAAAAAAGGCTTCAATTTTTTTATTCATTTTATATATGGTACCTAGGATAAGTACATGTACTTGTACTTGTACCTGACATGTACAGATATGACTTAAATTTGGCTGCAGTCAGTTATTAATTTTGGATTTATTTAATACATTTGTTACTTCCCCTGACAGAAAATCTTCGATAGAACGATAACATTTTCAAGTATCATAAAATAAATCATTGATAGTTAATAAGTAATAATGAAGATATGAGTGATATATAATATTAGCTATAATAGCCACTACGATGTATAATACGAGTATATATTTATAAAAAATTAATAATTCTAAATAATAATAACTATAAAATTAGCAGCCTAAAACTTGTAATCTGGTTTTGATCCACTGCGCTCTAGAATATTAGCACACCTAACCAACAAATAGTTATATTTGATATTCTATCAATTACTTCTTCAACTTATTCACTAGTGATGGGTCGAACTGTTCGAATCTCGAACCGAATCGAACCGAACCCTTAATATTCGGTTCGAAATTCGAACTCGGCATGAAAA